CTAGAATATAGAGCCCAGAAATAATGCTGTACAAATATAACTACTATCTAATATTCAACAAAGCTGACAAAAACAAGCAATGAGGAAAGGACTCCTTATTTAATGAATGGTGCTGGGATAACTGGCTAGCCATATGCAGAAGATTGAAACTGGACCTCTACCTTAAACCACAAACAAAAATCGGCTCAAGATGGATTAAAGGCTTAAATATGAAACCTAAAACCATTAAAAATAAACCCTGGCAAATAACCTAGGAAATATTATTCTGGACATAGGACTTGGCAAAGATTTCATGATGAAGACAACAAAAAGGATCGCAACAAAACAAAAAATTGACAAATGGGATCTAATTAAACTGAAGAGCTTCTGTACAGCAAAAGAAACTTCAACATAGTAAAAAGACAACCTACAGAATGGGAGAAAATATTTGCAAACATGCAGCTGACAAAGGTCTAATACCCAGAATGTTTAAGGAACTTAAACAAATTTATAAGCAACAATCAATCAGCCCTATTAAAAAGTAGGCAAGGGACATAAGCAGACACTTTTCAAAAGAAGACATAATATAGCAACAAGCACATGAAAAAATTCTCAACATTACTCATCATTAGAGAAATGCAAATCAAAACCACAAAGAGATACCATTGCACACCAGTCAGAGTGGCTATTACTAAAAGGTCAAAAAGTAACTGATGCTGGTGAGGTTGTAGAGAAACACTTATACACTGCTGGTGGGAGTGTAAATTAGTTCGGCCCTTGTGGAAAGCAGTGTAGCAATTCCTCAAATAACTTAAAACAGAATTACCATTCAACCCTGAAATCTTATTATTGGGTACATGCCTGATACGGTTTAGCTCTGCGTCCCCACCCAAATCTCATTTTGAATTGTAATCCCCAAGTGTTGAGGGAGAAAGGCGAATGGATCATGGGGGTGGTTTACCCCATGCTGTTCTCATGATAGTGAGTCAGTGAATTCTCATGAGATTTGATGGTTTTGTAAGCATCTGACCTTTCCCCTGCGTGTACTTCTCTCTCCTGCCACCATGTGAGGAAGATGCTTGCTTCCACTTCACCTTCCACCATGACTGTAAGTTTCCTGAGGCCTCCCCAGCTCTGTGGAACTTTGAGTCAATTAAAACTCTCTCCTTGATAAATTATCCAGTCGCTTGTATTTCTTTATAGCAATGTGAAAACAGACTAATACAATACCCAAAGGAATATAAATCATTCTATTATAAAGACACATGAACATATATGTTCATCACAGTACTATGCACAATAGCAAAGACATGGAATCATCCTAAATGCCCATCAACAGTGGACTGGATAAAGAAAATGGGATACATATACACCACAGAATACTATGCAGCCATAAAAAAGAATGAGATTTTCCGTCTCAAAAAAAAAAAAAAAAAAAAGAATGAGATTATGCCCTTTGCAGGAACATGGATGGAGCTGGGGGCCATTAACCTTAGCAAACTAACGCAGGAACAGAAAACCAAGTACTTCAGATTCTCACTTATAGGTGGAGCTAAACAATGAGAACATATGAACACAAAGAAGGGAATAACAGACACTGGCACCTATTTGAGGATGGAGTGTGAGAGAAGGAAAAGGTTGAGAAAAAATACCTATTGGGTACTATGCTTATTACCTGGGTGATGAAATGATTTGTAAACAAAACCCCTATGACATGCAGTTTACCTATTGAACAAAATTGCACATGTACTGCTGAACCTAAAATAGAAGTTAAAAATAAAAGCTATTTTGTGAAACTCTAAAAAAAGTTTCTCAGAGTTTGAATTTGCTGATTGCAGCCCATGGCATTATTGAACATAATTGAGATACATCAAAGACAATTAAGTCTATGCATTTGTGATGATATCATGAGATACTTTATTGATTACCTTTGGAGGAAAAAAGGAAATCAACTCACTAAATTGAAGGTTGGCAAATGCAAGGAAATAATTAGCATTTATCTTGAATTTTTTATTCAAACTATACCTTAGAAAAATAAAACAAAACAATTTATGAGGGTAAGTTTATCTTTAGAAATGTGTTTGAGCTAATAAATGAAGAAATGAGAGAATTAGAATATTACCATTTTGCAATCTTTTATGAATTAATGGTTTCTAACATACCAAAAAGAGAGCCAACCGGAATTATGTACTTCCTGGTGGAAGTACCTACAAACTAATCTTTCTATTTTAAAAAAGTCAAACTTGAATCTGATTGAGACTTTAAAATGAACTTATAAATACATATGGTAATATACAAAGTACATAAAGGAGACTAAAATTTTAATTAGCAAAATATGATGAAAATCATGTATAGAGAATAGAGAAAGCATATGAGAGAATGAAAAGTCCTCAACTTCTCTGATTAAAGGCCATAGATAACATCAAACTATACAAACCATGATGCATTTATCAGTTAGAAGCATTGAGAGAAACATTATCCACTAAATGTTTCTAAAGAGCTTGCCCGTGTGATGAGGCAAAGCATGAAGAGCTAAGAGTATTGAGTTTTTATTTGTTTTTTTTTTTTTTGGACCATATATTACTTGAAAAATATTTTTAATATTTTTATTTTTGATTTTATGGGTACATAATAGTTGTACATACCATGGGGTACATGTGATATTTTGAAACAAGCATACAATGTGTAATTACCAAATCTGGGTAATTGGGATATCCATCACCTCACACATTTATCATTGCTTTGTGTTGGAAACATTCCAAATCTTCTTTTGGCTATTTTGAAATATACAATAAATTATTGTTTACTATAGTTGTGCTATTGAACACTGGATCTTATTTCCTCTACCTGATTGTGGTTTTGTACCCATTAACCAACTCTCTTCATCTCTTTCTCTCCACTACTCTTCCCAGCCTCTGGTAATGACCATTCTACTCACTACCTCTATGAGATCTTGTTTTTAGCTCCAACATATGAGTGCAAACATAATCATTGTCTGTGACTGGCTTATTTTACTCAATAAAATGTCTTCCACTTCCATTCATGTTGTTGTAAGTATCAGGACTTAATTCTTTTTTATGGCTGAATAATATTTCATTGTGTACATATGCCATATTTATTTTCTTTATTCGTATATCCACTGATGAACACTTAGGTTAATTGCATGTCTTGGCTCTCATAAATAGTGCTGCAATAAACATGGGAGTGCAGAAATCTCTTCAATATACTGCTTTTCTTTCTTTGGAATAAGTCCCAGCAGGAGAATTTCTGGATCATATAGTAGTCCGATTTTTAGTTTTTTGAGGAACCTCCATACTGTTTTCCAAAATGGCTGTACTAATTTACATTTTCATCAACATTGATGAACATTCCCCTTTCTATATATTTTTGCCAAATTTTGGTGGTTTATTTTTTTGTTCATTTGTTTACTTGATAGTAGCTATTTTAATTGTGGTGAGGAGATAACTTGTTATAATTTTTATTTGCATATTACTAATGATTAGTGATGTTGAGCATTTTTTCTTATACCTGTTGGTCATTTGCATGTCTTCTTTTGAAAAATGTCTATTCAGATCTTTTGCCTATTTTTAAAATCAGATCATTTTTCTGCTCTTGTTTGAGTTCCTCAAATATTCTGGTTATTATTCTCTTGTCAGATGAATAGTTTGCAAATATTTTCTCCCATTCTGTAGCTTGTCTCTTCACTTTATTTTTTCCTTTTGCTGTGCAGAAGCTTTTTAAATTTCTGCTTTGGTTGCTTGTGCTTTTGAGTTCTTACTCAAGAAATCTTTGCCTAGGACAGTGACCTGAAGTATTTCTCCAATGTTTTCTTCTAGTAGTCTTATAGTTTCAAGTCTTACATTTAAGTCTTTAATACATTTGATTTTTTTTATAAGTGAGAGAGTGGGGTCTAGTTTTATTTTTCTGCATATGGATATCCAGTTTTCCCAGCACTATTGAAGACATACAGAATAGAGAACTCAGAACAGCCTGTAATCCCAGCACTTTGGGAGGCCGAGACAGGCGGATCACGAGGTCAGGAGATCGAGACCATCCTGGCTAACACGGTGAAACCCCGTCTCTACTAAAAAATACAAAAAAAAACTAGCCGGGCGAGGTGGCGGGCGCCTGTAGTCCCAGCTACTCGGGAGGCTGAGCCAGGAGAATGGCGTGAACCCAGGGGTGGAGCTTGCAGTGAGCTGAGATCTGGCCACTGCACTCCAGCCTGGGCAACAGAGCGAGACTCCGTCTCAAAAAAATAAAATAAAATAAATAAATAAATAAATAAATAAATCCATGCATTTACAGACAACTTATTTTCAACAAATGTGACAAGAACATTGGGAAAAGGGCAGTCTCTTCAATAAATGAAAACACATTAAAATTTTTTAAAAATCTAAATTACATGTCTTCTCCCAACAGAGTCAACAGCTATTACTTGTTATTCATTCTACATAGATTTTATGTGTATTGTTGTTGTTATTTGATAGAAATATTCTTTGTTTTTGGATGCTTCCAACCATTTGCCTGTTGGGAAGTTCATCTTCTCATGGTGCTCTATCACTCAGCAGCCCCCTTCACTATCAAGAGTCTTCTGGCTTGGACAATGAATTTTAGAGCCATTCGATAAATAGCTACCACATTTTTTGCAACTTGAAAATTTTCCAAACTGCTCCAGTCCCTCAGACATTTCAGAAAAGGATTGGAAAAAAGCTCTTGACCATCAGTTATTGGAGAGAGTTCATAAGTTAGTGAAGAGAAGGTATCTCAGTTAAGCTTTTAACTCAGTCTTTTAAGTCAAACTGATTAACATGGAGGTGGTAGAGTGAGAGGTTTCTCTAAACAAAGGTCATATTTCATATCTGATCTTCCTAAGTTAGCAGAAAAGCAAACTGGTCATGAAGGTATAAACTATATATTTATATCTTTCCCTGTTACTTCCTCATTAGTGTCTTCTTTGTAATTAGCAGAAACTCTTGGAAATCAAGTTATTATTTCACATCAATTCCTTTTCTTTTTTTTGAGTTATGATACAGTTATTTATTATTGTGTAAGCCCTTATTAATTAGTTCCTCCCTCATCCTGTCTTAAAATATTCAACAATAGATAGGAGCTCAAAAAATTTTTTTAAAAAAACAGACTGCCATGAAAACCAAATCTTTTCTTCCTGTGATAATAGTGGCCTCCTAGTGTTATTTCTTATTAATGGGAGTATCCATGGATTTAATTGTATATTGCATTTTAGTTCTGGTCATATAATAATTTCATGACTTCATACACCAAAAAAACTAATCTTGTCTTGAGTTTTAAAAAGAAAAAGTTACTAGCACCCATGGTTAAGGAAGGAAAACTGCAGCTCATTTCAATACATTTGTTTCTTTTCAATTCATGAAATCGAGCACATGCAAGAAACAGGATGACAGTCACCAAGAGTGGTTAAAACTACAAACTATCATGCAATTGAAAATACCACATTAAAGATATATTTATATACTGAAAATGGAGCAATGCCAAAAAGATTTTATAATTTACAAAAGTTACTTGTTAAAGGCAAATTTCATAAGTTGTGTTTACAATTATCCATTTAATCATCTCCAAAAAAAGGCTAAATTTATTATTTTAAATTAACATTCTGTAAGTTAAAGAGAGTAATCAAGTTGTCTCATGGACTGGAAGGTGACTTAATTCCCTTTCATTTCCAAACCTCATCAAGCAGTCACTACATTTATGAGATAAGTCAGCTGAATGCTTGAAATCTAGATGAATTTTAAGATCTTCAATTTGTCCTGTTGAATATTCACAATATTGACATAAATCCCTTCAGATAAATGTGAATTTAAATGCTTGCAATATTCTAGCATACTTGAAAAGCCTTTCCCACGGTCATCACAAACATGAAGAAAAATTTTAGTATGTTCAATAGCAACATGCCCGTTAACATTTGTATGACATCTACTCCGAAAACCACATACTTGCCATACAAAGACGTTTTTACATTTGTCAAAGGTAATTTTGCTTAAGAGGCTATACTGTCCATGTTCTCCATTGTTATACTTATAACTTTATTAATTTACATGCATGCTCATTTACCACATGGCTATGCAAGTCTTCCGGATCATCAGTTTCATGTTCACAGAACTGACACAAGTACTGTTCATCACAGCTGTGCTCCTGGAAACGTAGGTAGAGTTCACTGCTTGAGGAGAACTGTACATCACACTGTTCACACCAATAGAGGTGATCACTAAAATGGGAGTCTGCAATGTGCTGACTGAGGTTCTCAAAAATTACTGTCTTATAGTCACAGTATTTACAAATGTAGGGATCCTCTTCATGTAGTTTGGCATGTTCTATCAGAAGCATATTGGTAGAGAAACTTTCCTTGCACACTCGACACACATTTGAATCAGTACATTTATGCTTCAGGATCATATGCTGCTTTAAGTCAGAAAAATATTTGCTGTTAAACTCACAAAGTTCACATTTATAGAGGCCACTGCTATCAGCTCTCAGTAAAGGCCATTTCTGCTGGGCAGTCACATTCAAACTTGGCTCTTGTCAAGAATTTTACAAAGTTTAGCTGGTGGTTCTTCATCAGTATGATCTTGGAGACTCTCAGAGGAATTGTTTTCTGTCTCTATATCATAATCCTCAGAAATCGCATGCACTTCTACAGCAATTGGAACATCTTCAGTAGTGTGAACTTCTATAGGACTCTCCTCTTGGGTTTGCTGGTTGACTGATTCAGGTGAGTCACACTCTTCATCACAAATTTCAATACCAGCAGATTTTTCTGTAGAAAAGGCAGTGTGGTCTAGAATTCTAAGTACAGGACTGGGAACCAGGTAGTTCTGATTTCTGTTTCTGGCCTTGATTCCATCTGCAAATTTTGGCAAGTCGTTTGATGTCTTGGTATCAGAATCATCATCTTTGTTGTCAAAATATTTTAAATCTGGCTGTCTCAAGGAACAGACATGTAACGATGATCAGAGAAAATTCCATTGAATCCATCTGCAATTCTGCTTATTCCAGAGGAATCTGAATAACGAGAAGGGTGTTGAGTCTTCCTTTTTCTTTTTTTAGGATACTCATTCATATCTTTTCAATTTGGTGTAATTCTTACTACTGGAGTGAGGAAAAATGAATTACAATAAGTTTCTGTAGATGGTAAAAAAATGCCCGTCAGTCCCCGCCCCAGGCCCACCCTGCGGGCCCACGTGCAGCTCAGAGGCTGCCGAGGCCGAGGTGCCGGAGCGTGGGCGGAGGGACAGCGCGGTTGTTCCCACGGACGGGCAGCGCTGCTACGGCCCTAGTGCTCCTGGACCCTGTGTTGGGCCGACCCCTCTCCCTCTCCGTGCGCCCCGCCCCGGGCCTAGGCTCCGCAGCCGCACTGCCCTGGCCGCCATCAATTCCTTTTCAGTTGACTTTTGAATCTGAGAATTACAGTAAATATTTATCTACATAAAGCCAAAATGAATACTCACTTAATAACAAAGCAACTAACAACTCCTTTCATTTTTTTTTTTTTTTTTTTTTTTTTTTTTTTTTTTTTTTTTTTTTGGGACAGAGTCTTGCTCTGTCACTCAGGCTGAAGTGCAGTGGCACCATCTCAGCTCACTGTGACCTCTGCCTGGCAGGTGCAAGTGATTCTCCTGCTTCAGCCTCCTGAGTAGCGGGGATTGCAAGCACATGCTACCATACCCAGCTAATTTTTGCATTTTTAGTAGAGATGGGGTTTCACCATGTTGGTCAGGCTTGTCTTGAACTCCTGACCTCATGATCTGCCTGCCTCAGCCTCCCAAAGTGCTGGGATTACAGGCGTGGGTCACCACACCCAGCCTAAACTATTTCTTATCTCTATGGTATACAAACTATTCTCCCCAAATCTACCCTTCTACTCCTCTTCCCACATACACTTTTATACTTTTTATGCTTTTTTCCTTCCTAATCTAAACTTTCTAAGCTATGAGACAACAGAAAAGTCCCTTTTACTCCCCTAAAAATAGACAATTATATCAAATAAGAACATGTATAAAAGGTCTTCTGAAACTTGGGAGGCTGTAGAGAAATGTTATTATTTCTTCTAAAAATGTTATTATTGTATTATTTCTTCTCAAGCACGTATAGTAGATGAGAAGAGAAAAGGCTGATAATTCATTATACATGTTCCACAACCTACACCAAAGGGTTGTAGAGATTTCAGGGAAATCTGTGTACTGAAACATTTATTAAAGATTAGATAGTATTTAATCATTTGCTGATATTAATTTTATATTACTTATATGTTTGATATATTTGAAAAAAAAATCAGTAGAAAAAGATCATTGTCCCAAATGGAGAAAGAGAAAATATATGTTAATCATAGGCAATATCATAAATTAATGAGTTAAATTAGTGGAAGTTTGATAAACAGCAGGGTTTTTAGTAGACTATGATTTTAAGAGCATTATTATGATCAAATAGTCAATAATAATAGTGATAGATGGAATGCTTTTACTTGAGTTTCTCTCTTTCTCCCCTCACCCCCACTTGTCTTTATCTCTATCTTCACTCCTTTTGTTATCATTCACCTTTCAATTTATTTTTACATACATGGTTTCTACTTACCAGTCACTTAAGAAGCTGAGCTGTAGATTCCCTTCCAAGATGGCCAAATAGGAACAGCTCCAGTCTGCAGCTCCCAGCATGATTGAGGCAGAAGACAGGTGATTTCTGCATTTCCAACTGAGGTACCTGTTTCATCTCACTGGGAGTAGTTGGACAGTGGGTGCAGCCCACAGAGTGCGAACTGAAGTAAGGTGGGGCATTGTCTCACCCAGGAAGCACAAGGAGTCAAGGAATTTCCCTTTCCTAGCCAAAGGAAGCCGTGACAGACTGTACCTGGAAAAGTGGGACATTCTTACCAAAATATTGTGCTTTTCCAATGGTCTTAGCAAATGGCACACCAGGAGATTATATCCTGTGCCTGGCTTGGTGGGTCCCACACACACACGGAGACTTGCTTACTGCTAGCGTGGCAGTCTGAGATCGACCTGCGAGGCAGCAGGCAGGGGGAGGTGCATCCGCCATTGCTGAGGCTTGAGTAGGTAAATAAAGCAGCTTGGGAAGCTTGAACTGGGCAGAGCCCACCACAGTTCAGCAAGGCCTGCTGCCTCTGTAGATTCCACCTCTGGGGTCAGGGCATAGCTGAACAAAAGGCAGCAGAAACTTCTGCAGACTTAAACATTCCTGTCTGACAGCTCTGAAGACAACAGTGGTTCTCCCAGCATGGTGTTTGAACTCTGAGAGTGGACAGGCTGCCTCCTCAAGTGGGTCCCTGACCCCTGTGTAGCCTAACTTGGAGATGTCTCCCAGTGGGGGCCGACTGACACCTTATACAGGCAGGAGCCCCTCTGGGACTGAAGCTTCCAGAGGAAGGATCAGGCAGCAATATTTGCTGTTCTGCAATATTTGCTGTTCTACAGCCTCAACTGGTGATACTCAGGCAAACAGGGTCTGGAGTGGACCTCCAGCAAACTCCAGCAGCCCTGCAGCTGAGGGACCTGACTGTTAGAAGGAATCTAACAAACAGAAAGGAATAGCATCAACATCAACAAAAAGGACATCCACTCCAAAACCCCATCTGTAGGTCACCAACATCAAAGACCGAAGGTAGATAAAACCACATAGATAGGGACAAACCAGAGCAGAAAAGTTGATAATTCTAAAAACCAGAGTGCCTTTTCTCCTCCAAAGGATCGCAGGTCCTTGCCAGCAATGGAACAAAGCTGGGCAGAGAATGACTTTGATGAGTTGACAGAAGTAGGCTTCAGAAGGTCAGTAATAACAAATTTCTTCTAGCTAAAGGAGGATGTTTGAACTCATCGCAAGGAAGCCAAAAACCTTGAAAAAGGATTAGACGAATGGCTAACTAGAATAAAAATGTAGAGAAGACCTTAAATGACTTGATGGAGCTGAAAACTATGGCATGAGAACTACATGATGCAGGCACAAGCTTCAGGAGCCGATTCAATCAAGTAGAAGAAAGAGTATCAGTGATTGAAGATCAAATTAATGAAATGAAGTGAGAAGAGAAGTTTAGAGAAAAAAGAGTAAAAAGAAACAAACAAAGCCTCCAAGAAATATGGGACTGTGAAAAGACCAAATCTACATTTGATTGGTGTACCTGAAAGTGATGAGAATGGAACCAAGTTGGAAAACACTCTTCAGGATATTATCCAGGAGAACTTCCCCAACCTAGCAAGGCAGGCCAACATTCAAATTTGGGAAATACACAGAACACCGCAAAGATACTCCTCGAGAAGATCAATCCCAAGACACATAATTGTCAGGTTCACCAAGGTTGAAATAAAGGAAAACATGTTAAGGGCAGCCAGAGAGGTTGGGTTACCCTGTAGCTCCACATAGTTACAAATTATTAATTTCTTTGTATTACATTAATTAATATTTTATAATATGGAATATATGTTACACATACATTAGAAGTTTATGTTCTCCCTGGGAGCAATCCTGGATTATACATAATCAAACCCCTATATACAATTAAAAATACATTTGATTTTCAGACATTTTTCACCTATCTTGAGAACTTAGGAGGCAAAAAATTGACATAGAAAGAATAGACAAAATATGTCTTCATAGTCTAAAGTCAACCACACAATTCTATATTTTTATAATCCCATGGGCATGAAAAGCTCAGCAGCTGTGCATTAGGAAGTTCAAACATCATAGTTTAAGGTTTTAACTTTATAGTGTCTATAAAAACACAATATGTGGCCAGGGGAAGTTGTTTATAAAAAATTCTCAACAGTGATACTTAAAATAGTTTTAAATATACTTTTTAAACTGAAATTTGTTTAAATTTATAGACCATAAAATTCACTGATCTGATGTAAAATATAGTTTTAAGTGGCAGATTCTGAGATATTGATCTGTTTAAGCAAATGTCCTAGTAGAAACTACTAGGAAATAACTTTTTTTTTCCTCTAGCAAGATTCTTCATTCCTCCAACTCTCACTTCCACTCTTTTTCCTTTTTCTTCTTCCTTCCCATAGAATGTTTTTATTTTTTCTTATTCTTGCTCATCTTTAACATTCATTTCTTTGCCTCCTCTTCTTTTTTTCCTCCTTGCCATTTCTTCTCTTCTTTGTGCATTAGGGCTCTGCTTACTTCCCTAACCTTTTTTTCTGGCTGTTTCTCTCTTTCATTCGGTTACATTAAAACTCCTTCTGGCAAAATCTCTCCCTCAGATACATCAGAGCCCTTGAATGAAATGCCTGGAAAATTAATTCCATGTACATTTTAGGAAATCTTGCTCACAGCTGCATTTTTCCATTAGAGATGGTTTCAAAGGCTGCATTTAACACACACACACACACACACACACACACACACACACACAGCCAAATGAGGCAAAGTTTAAGTGAGAAAACGTGTGGAGCATTAAGCCAAATGACAGGAGGAGGGTTGCATTTTCAGAGAAGCAGAGAAGTTCTATAAATGCCTTTCAAATAAAACAAGAACACTTTTGAACTTTAAAAATCAGATTGCCAACACAGAATTGACTAAAATAAAATTCGCATTTAGTTTGAAAGACAATTACAGGTCAGCTTCTTTTTTTAATTTTTATTTTTATTTTAAATTATATGTTAAGTTCTAGGGTACATGTGCACAATGTGCAGGTTTGTTACATAGGTATACATGTGCCATGTTTGTTTGCTGCACCCATTAACTTGTCACTTACATTAGGTATTTCTCCTAATGCTGTCTCCCATTGTCTCACCCCATGACAAGCCCTGGTGGGTGATGTTCCCCACCCTGTGTCCAAGTGTTCTAATTGTTCAATTCCTAGCTATGAGTGACAACAAGCAGTGTTTGATTTTCTGTCCTTGTGATAGTTTGCTCAGAATGATGGTTTCCAGCTTCATCCATGTCACTACAAAGGACATGAACTCATCCTTTTTTATGGCTGTATAGTATTCCATGGTGTATATGTGCCACATTTTCTTAATCCAGTCTGTCATTGATGGACATTTGGGTTGGTTCCAAGTCTTTGCTATTGTGAATAGTGCTGCAATAAACATACGTGCTCGTGTGTCTTTATACTAGAATGATTTATAATCCTCTGGGTATTTACCCAGTAATGGGATTGCTAGGTCAAATGGTATTTCTAGTTCTAGATCCTT